CGTTCGAGTTCACCATCGATCAGTAGTTCTCCATAGACTACTTTAACTTCTGTCCAACCAGTGCTAAGCAATGGGAAACGTAGGCGAATTAAGATTCTCTAACATCTGCCTTTAACCATCTAGTAAAAAGTTATGTGTTGGTATGTGTGGTCAGGAAACAAACGTTATGAAACTATTCTCACATAGTGGGGACATATAGATGATATGCACAATTTAACAAATGAGGAAAACGTTCAATGTGTCAATGAAATATCAACATGAAATCATGTGTCGTTTAAATGTAGGAATACAAAATATGGAAGACTATGTTTTGATTGAACTAAAAGCTTGCAAATGTCCTGCAAATTACTTTGGTTAAATCGATACTCATTGGCATTTTGAATTGCTCGTGTGAAACTAAATGGTACACGCAGTTGTCTTGAGAAACAGTGTCAGAATATCATAACATTATCGTTTATCGTTATTATTTGTTAACAATAGAATTAAGAAACTGCATCTGTATTTACAAATACAAACCGTGTTGAGAATTGTCAGTCTGCTTAAGTCGGTTGTAAGTAGTCGAATAGTTTAACCTCAGATAGAGACGATTCAGTGGAGAGACGCTGCTTATTAACGAGGTACAACTGTACTTGTGGTTAAAATATTTACAGACAGTAGTCCACAACACAAATGAAGCGCATAACATCCTCCAGTAAGCCTAACAAGCGATCATTAAATATAAATAGCAAAATAATAATGGATATAATAAGTATTTTGAAAGAAATATGTGTTCATCGAAAGTCTCTTGTTGATCGTAATTCTTTGCTTGAATGAATCGTATGTTATCTCATGCTTGTCAAGATCTGAGTAACTATTTATAGGCAACTATATGCGTCGATTCAAGTTGTCAGACCTTGTTATCACAACAATATGAACACCAAATTCATAGTAATTCACTTCAATGTTAGGAATATATAAAAGAATGATTGTGCATAAGAGTATAATACAGAGAAAAAATTAGTTCGTAGAAAGTAAGGTGTAAAGCAATTGTAATCTCACGGTTTAAGGGAAGTCAATGTGTTTACACATGTACGGTATTATAATCTATTCTAAGCCATGTCACATAGAGTCTCCAAACATTGTATACGATAATCGCGCAGACCTCAACCCAGCAGCTTGCATCTACCAACATGGCTCAATCTCGAGGTTAGTGACTTCAAGGACTGATGCCATGTTATGGTTTGTCTGGCTCAAATTTATCAAATGTTATCATAATTTACTGGCTAACGGTTCACTTAATTCTATATCACATGAGTCTCCACCTACATTTTCTTTGCATGAATGATGACTTTCTATAACATTTGAAGTCAATGTATGACTTGCTTTCGATACACTAATGCTTAAGACAGACCTATGAAAATTTTACAAAGTGGCATAACATGCATTTTTTTATTAAAGGCTTGTCCATGTGAAACTTCATTACAAATACGGTTGTATACGTTGGCCCATGTATGATCGTCGATAACGAAGTTGCGCTGAATGAAACACATTCAAATTGTAGGATGAAGTAGACTTGTTTTGCTTCGTGTACTCTAGTTCAAATTTACACTATCCCATCTGTACAAATAAATCTATTTTATTACAATTGCACATACAGTGTAACATACAAACGCCGTTTTCTTCCGTGGCAGAGAGAAACAATTTGTATTACTTTGCACATTCTCAATACCGTTTTGAGCATTTTATCATAAGGATCATCATCATTATTTATAACTTGAGTTTTCTTTAGTGAGCCAAAAGACATTTGCACATGACATAAAAATACCTAAAACTTATGCACGTTAATCATTTATACATATTGGTGTGTAAATGAGTGATTTAGAGCATACAAGATTAATTGAATTCATTTAATCTAAGTTAGTTGCTCTCCCTTTATAACATGTTATCAAGAAAACTAATCACATAAAGTGTCAGTGTGATGATCTGAGAAGATATCGTTTCATTTATATTTTAGACATTCGTGCTTATTGTAAAGGCCATTTTGACAGACGTAAGTTCAAGTTAGTGAGATGTTTTGACATAGTAAGACCAATGTTAGTGAATTTTCATTATCTTGATTCCAGGAAAAAAGAAAAATGAGTATTTCTTCAATAGTGTACAGCTTCAAAATACTGACGAATGTTTACATTGGTGATACAGAATATAACTTCGACAAACTCATTTCTATTGAGGTAGACATTTGGATACCAAATGTAGATATGTAGTAGAAAACGTCCACATTCGTACATAGCATTTGAATGTTTGTTTCTCACTATGTATTTACATCAGTCGAACAAATGTAGTCTTCGCATCCATCATCGCCAATAGACTTACTAATCAGAATAATGGTAAATGCTTCTTATTTCAATGATTGGTTTCTGATGAAATTCATGACGAAATATCAGTTTGTAACAACTATGAGAATGAAATGCAATTACATTTAAACCATTTGAACAAGCTTTTGTCTATGAATGATTTAGCTGTTGATGAAAGTGACACAAATGCAGGAATAAACGCTTTCCGTAAGCATTATTCATTATTGGTAATTTTACAAATTTGACAAGTTTTCTCATTGTAATTTTTAGTTCGCTATAACTATCTTTATTGTACTGTCGACCACCTCAGGTCAACCTGAGTAGGATTTTATGTTCTTTCTATTCATTCTGTATTGAAAGTTGGGCTAATATAAGGCGTGTATAAAGATTTCACAGTTCCTTATTTTCCGATTTCTTCAAAATATCATATTGATATTATCAAGAACTCTTTCATTTACTGTGACACTAAGGATGTGACATACATTCGATAGTCACTTTCTGGAATCACCAATATCCTTTAGACTATAGCAACTCACATTCAATTGAGTTTGCTCTCACCTAATTCGGTTAAGCCCTTTTATTAACTTATTAAACGGACAAAGTCACCTGCACTATAATAACTTATTGTATCCTTATTACTGTTGCGAATGTATGTACCTTTATTATTGTTATCCTTGTATGAATATGTATGCTCGGAAAGCCTTACTGCCTACGCATTTATTCACGCTACTAGCTTTACTATTAACCGCTTAATTGACTCGATGATTCATTAATTTCACTACGTATATATATGCCCATGTTATTCATATTCATGACTCGCTCGCTCGTTCATTCACTCGCTCGATCGCTCGCTCTTGCCCTTGCTCTCTCTCGCCCGCTCACTTGCCTGTTTGCCTTTCGACACAACTATTTCATGCTTGCTTAACGCATCTGTTATATTGGATATCTGTGTGTGGTCCCTTAATAAACGTAATTAACGCTTCGTATTCGCCTTCTGATTAATATACCGTTGGAGCATTATTTGGTGACGGTTACCGAGACGAAATGTATACGGAGTTTAAGGAATATATCGAACACCGACCACCAAAAGACTAGAGGAAACTTACATCAAGTTGAATTATTGATCTAAGGGAAGTGGAAATATTTCTAATCAGCATGGATGTAAGTCATTTGCAAGTCAGATCAGAAGTGGAAGCCTGTGTGAGTGCAGTTTCGCACCTCATAATATCTCTCTCACTGCAGACGAATATCCGATTCCATTTATTTTGGGAAATCGAGACAGAATTTCTCTGTCAATGTCTAGAGCTTTTGTGGACAATGATTAGTAGTGACTAACAACAAATAGCATAGATGAATCTTGTTGACATTTTGAAGAAGCTAACATTTTTCAACTTCTTATTTTAAAGCCTTCGACAATCATCCTGGTGAAAATGAAGTCAGCAATAATCGTATGCTGAATTTCTCCCTATTACTGTAATGATAGTTTAGTTGGCCAACTTTATATGAGCAGAAATGATATGCACACATTTGACTGTATATTTAAGGATCCAGTCAAAAACAGATACACATGTGCGTTGAATTTGTGAGCAGAAAGTGGCGCATATTCGTGTACAATGCCTTACCAGAACTCAACATATGAAGTACAGTTACAGCAAATGCACGCACGCATATATGTCCGCATGAACTAAACTACATCAGTAATCAGCTACATAAATGCCGTAAATCTATGAAGAGAGATATATCATGACTTACGAAACCCATGAGATAAAATGAAAAATGAGGTTTATGAAGCTATGCACCACATGACATAACATTCAGTAACCTACGCTATGAAATCAACTTATGTATCTGCATTCACATCAAGATCGTATGAAGTGACTGCAGTGTGCATACTTTTCAGTAGGCAGAGTAAATGCAAAGCAATAACTGTAGAAACGGGACAGATCGTGATTTATTTCAAGCTTTGTGCAATTAGGTAAATGAATGCTGACACTCAGTGAATCATTACAATTAACAACCTCACATGTTCGCCTTCGTTTACTGACATATGTAGACTACGCTTAGCGATGTAATGTGTGGAGATGCTGTTGGGGAATCGACCACGATCAACAAGTGAGAGTTCATATGTTTTATGAATAACCACACATTTTATTATAAACCGGAAAAATCTAGGGAGTTTTAAGTTTTTGCTCAATGCATTGAATTGTAATTATGCCTTACTTGTCTACTAGTGAATCACAAAAATGATTGTGGTATGAATGTAGTCGACGCGACGAACATGAACACGAAGTGAGTATTGTTGGTTCCGACTTTTGTAGATGACAATGATCCAGGTGATACAGTGGATATTTCTTCCGGTAAGCCAATGTTGATGGAATGTCTCGATTGTATAGTTTTAACTTTTTTCTAATAACTGATTGCATAATGAATCGGATATCACTTGTAATTACACAACTATGAGGGAGACAATGCGGCGTTTACATATGTTTCAGGAATTCATTTTAAATACCAATCTACGTGCATTATCAAATCTTTACCGATGTATAGGAATTCCAGTACACTTATGGTGACGTATATTCCGTGATTTTTTTGTAACCACATTTTTATTCAATATCCGTTGTTTTTCTGTATCACTTATGTTAAAAAAGATGATAATTGTTTTGATAAGATTTGAACATACTTTTTACTACCGCGCGGATTAAAATATAATACACTATTCACGTCGTCTGCCCTTCTGCTTTATTGGCCACGGCTTTGATCGAAGACTATAATAGTATTATAATATCCTTATAGGCCTCTTTGCACTACGTTGGCATTTTGGCCCGGATCACTATTACACAATACTATTGGCCTCTGTCTTCCTAGTCACGACGTTGGTGCCATCAGTCGCAGAAGAACCTACGTTAAATCGAGTGGACTTATTTGTGGTTGTCATCCCAGGGAGCAGCTTTCAAGTAACATTCATTCTGTAATAATTGTTATTACCATATTGCTCAATACACCACTTGTATTTATAATTGTATATTTGTTACCCTTGGTTTATTTTACCCGTACACAAACACCTAGGGTTTCCACTGTTAACTCTTTTGGCATATTATTATTAATAACCTGGTGTATTAATATATCTTGTATAAGCTTTTTTTGCTGGGAACCACCACAAATCTGGTGAGCCCGTAAATTTCACTTTCGAAACTAGTTCTGAGTTCACTCACAAACATTTCGGCGTTATTTTTCTTTTTGGTAGTAATTATTTTTTTTATACATTTGTAATGTATCCATCCGACGCTGATGGCATTAGTCAGGACTGCATTTAAACAGAGTTAAACGCTCTAAACTTGATGAATGTGCCTCCATTTAGCCGATTAAATCCACGTATTTGGTTTGCACAAGTGGAAGTACAGTTTCAGCGGCGTAACATACGTTCACAAACATCAAAGTACTCTTTTGTGCTTGGAATACTACCGACGGAAGTAGCATCTGAGGTATCGGATCTCATAGATAATGTCCCTGCAGCTAATGCATATGACCAGTTAAAGCAGGCCATCATCCAACGTACCTCATTATCGGACGAAAAGAGGCTACAACAATTCCTACACGAGTGTGAGTTAGGTGACAAGTCACCCTCCCAATTATTACGCCAGATGAGGCAGTTAGCTGGACCTTATAAAGTTGATGATGTTTTTCTGAAGGAAATTTGGCTACAACGTTTACCAACGGTAGTTAAGCAAATTCTTTGTGCTTCTAGCCAACCTTTAGATTTAGAAAATCTAGCTAGCATGGCCGACAAAATTTTAGAGGTTACACCTTGTACTACACCGTATGTGCAGACACTATCAGAGACTTCGAATGACAGGCAAACTCCTACAATAGCGTCGTTAACAGCCGAATTAGGCGAACTACGAGCACATCACGAACGAACCATTGCCAGTCTCGAAAATAAACTAGATGGATTACAACTATTACTTTCCAATCTCACATCTAAAAGGTCTCGCTCCAGTTCCCGAGGGAGTAAGAATCGAGACACCTCAAAAGGAAAGAAATATGATGATCACATATGTTGGTACCATAGAAAATACGGTGACAAAGCTAGGAAATGCGTCACGTCTTGTAAATTTTTCAAGTCATTTTCCTCACCTAAAGGTGTCAACCAAACCATGGTAACAACAAATATTTCGAGTGATCCTCATACTCGCCTTTTCCATGTCCTTGATAAAACTTCAGGATATAAATTCTTAGTAGACACTGGAGCAGAAGTCAGCGTTATTCCAGTTACCTTAGCCAACAAACCTGTTCCTAAGGGTGGAAAATATACCCTAAGGGCGGCTAACAGGACTGAAATAAAGACATTCGGCGAACAATTTCTAACATTAGACTTGGGAATTAAACGTCATTTAACCTGGGTATTTATTATTGCTGACGTCCGCCACCCCATATTAGGTGCAGATTTTTTAAGCTTCTACAACTTATTAGTTGACGTAAAAAGAAGAAAACTTATTGATTCCTGCACTAAACTTCAAGTCCTGGGAATTCAGTCAGACTACCACATACATAGTATTAAAATTGACACTCCAGGAAACGACATATTCACCACTATTTTATCTAAATTTCCCAAAATAACGAAACCGGACTACAGTGAAAACACGGTCCAACATTCTGTAGTACACCGGATAATCACAAAAGGCCAACCAACATCGGCACGTCCACGCCGATTACCACCGAACAAACTGAATGTTGCAAAGGCTGAATTTGACCACATGATGCAACTAGGTATAATACGTCCTTCAAATAGCCCATGGGCATCCCCACTCCATATGGTGCCCAAGCGGGATCAGGATTGGCGACCCTGTGGTGATTATAGGTCATTGAACAACCTAACGTTACCGGACCGTTACCCAATCCCTCATTTACATGATTTTTCGCTCACTTTACACGGCAAACATTTTTTTTCTAAAATCGACCTTGTACGAGCGTACCATCAAATCCCAGTAGCACACGAGGACATAGCAAAAACAGCCATCATTACTCCATTTGGTTTGTTTGAATTCCTGAGAATGCCATTTGGATTAAAGAACGCCGCACAAACTTTTCAACGATTTATGGATGAGGTCACTAAAGGCCTAGATTTCGTTTTCGTGTATATTGATGATGTATTGATAGCTAGCAAGTCGTTCCACGAACACATTGATCACCTACATCAATTATTCGAAAGATTTCAGAAATATGGCATAGTTATTAATCCATCCAAATGTATTTTTGGGGTCGAGAGTTTAGAGTTTTTAGGTCACATGATCGACAAACATGGAATTAAACCGTTGGATACAAAAATAGAAGCCATCAAGAACTTCCCAGAACCCGATTCATTGAATAAACTTCGGCGTTTTTTGGGGATGATCAATTTTTATCGTCGCTTTATTCCACATTGCTCAGCCATTCTACAACCTTTGACCGAGGTGTTAAAAGGCAAAGCTAAAAAGTTCACATTACCCCCCGAAGCGAAAGATGCTTTTTCTGCAGCTAAAACAGCGATCGCTGCTACAACTATGCTGACCTACATAAACCCTGATCCGGAAGCAACACTAATCTTGTGTACAGATGCATCTCAGGCAGCAATAGGTGCGGTACTACAACAGCGAGTGAATAATGAGATCAAACCACTTGCCTTCTTTTCAAAAAAGCTAGAACCAACTCAAACGCGATATAGTACTTTTGGTAGGGAACTATTGGCTATTTATCTGGCTGTTAAACATTTTAACCACTTACTTCAAGGCAGAGATTTTGTGATACTCACGGATCACAAACCTTTAACCTATGCTTTCAACGCTAAAAGTGATCGATATTCTCCTAGAGAAACGCGACAATTGGACTATATTTCTCAATTTTTAACCAACATACAGTTTATAAAAGGAGAATCAAATGTTGTTGCGGATACCCTGTCACGTTTCAATGTCGATGCAATTTCCTTCACCAAAGGAATCGATTTATCAGAGATGGCACGTCTACAAATAGATGATCCCGACCTTGTAGCTTGTAAACAAAATTCGAGCCTGTCCTTAAAAAGTGTTCCTATACCGCATTCCGACTCTACTATCATTTGTGATACTTCGACCGGAATACACAGACCTTTTGTTCCAATAGCGTACAGAAAAAGAGTTTTCGATTGCCTTCATTCTCTATCTCATCCAGGAATCCGCGCTACTGTGAAACTGATTTCGGAAAGATTTGTTTGACCAAAGATGAATGCAAATATAAAACAATGGACTAGAAATTGTTTACAATGCCAGCGCAGCAAAATTCATAGACATACAATTACAACACCGTCAACATTTAGTCTACCCGACCATCGTTTTCAACATGTTCATATTGATCTAGTCGATCCTTTAGCCCCATCTAACGGATTTACTTACATTTTTACTGCGGTAGACCGTTTTACCAGATGGCCAATTGCTTGCCCAATAAAAGACATCTCCGCTGAAAATGTTGCCGCCGTATTTCTCGACAGATGGATCGCTAATTTTGGTGTACCTTCCACAATTACTTCTGACAGAGGTTCGCAGTTCCAATCTCACCTCTTCAACGAATTTACCCGCATTTTGGGAATCCATCACATCACTACAACAGCATACCATCCAGCAGCAAACGGACTAGTAGAACGATTCCACAGACAACTAAAAAGCTCACTGATGGTACAACCTGATGTTTCTAGATGGAGCGAATCCCTACCTCTTATTTTACTTAGCATACGTTCCACAATTAAAGAAGACCTCCAATGTACTCCTGCACAGCTCGTCTATGGAACTAATTTAACCTTACCTGGTCAACTAGTGACGCATAGTTGCAAACCCGTATGTACGGATCCCACTTCTTTTTGCGAAAGACTAATGAGCCATATGAATCACATCAAACCTGTTTCACCTCGACCAGCTGTCTTAAAAGAGCAAGTTAGCAAACATCTAGATACGTGTAAATTTGTATTCGTTCGTGTTGACTCTGTAAGACGTCCTTTACAACACCCGTATGAAGGACCGTATGAAGTAATTGAGAGGCAAACAAAATATTTCACAATCAAAAAGAACGGAAAAAACGAGACAATCTCAATTGACAGGATAAAACCTGCTTTTGTAGAATACGAAACACATGACAGTCAAAAAGCCATCTAAAGACAGCAGCAGTCGTACAACGCAGTTTCCTGAACTTCCACATAATTCCTTACCTACTTCGGCGACATCAACACTGCGTAAAATGGACGATTCTAAAGTTACACCCCCCACAAATGTAGCTCCTAATTCCGCCATTTTACCTGCTCCTAAAACAACTCGTTCAGGAAGACATGTACATTTTCCTAAACGTTTTGTTGAATTCATTAATTAATCTTTATTCTGTCATTTTGGTAATGTAAGCGAACATCTATATTAGCAAAGTTACTAATAACATTTTTTTTTCTCGAGCAATTTTATTTTAAAAAAAACATTTCGTATGTACTACAAAAATTGATAAACTCATTATATTTTTCTCTACATGTGCATACGTTTCATATGATGTTTATTATTATTATTATTTCTGCAACGTTATTCAACGTCGTTAGACTCGTTCAGTTTATTATTAAATGCACACACAGTATATACAAGTATCTATTTGTTTATTTATTTTTGGCAACTACCAATTTAATTACCGTTATTATTATTAACATTATTATTATTGTTATTATTATTATAATTATTATTATTCTACTTTCCATTATTATTGTTAAACCTTTTATATACATTAAAATGAGAAACGATTTTTTTTTCTCTTTACCGCAAGAAAAACAATTTTGTTCGTAAACAGGTATACGCATACGATTTTTTTTTTCTGATAACATTTGTCTATTCTTCTTGTTGTGTAATTTTCTTTTCCCTCCAAAACATTTAGAGTTTTACGTCGGGCATACTTCCACCGACGTATGCCCTAGGGGGGGAGTTATATGGTGACGTATATTCCGTGATTTTTTTGTAACCACATTTTTATTCAATATCCGTTGTTTTTCTGTATCACTTATGTTAAAAAAGATGATAATTGTTTTGATAAGATTTGAACATACTTTTTACTACCGCGCGGATTAAAATATAATACACTATTCACGTCGTCTGCCCTTCTGCTTTATTGGCCACGGCTTTGATCGAAGACTATAATAGTATTATAATATCCTTATAGGCCTCTTTGCACTACGTTGGCATTTTGGCCCGGATCACTATTACACAATACTATTGGCCTCTGTCTTCCTAGTCACGACGTTGGTGCCATCAGTCGCAGAAGAACCTACGTTAAATCGAGTGGACTTATTTGTGGTTGTCATCCCAGGGAGCAGCTTTCAAGTAACATTCATTCTGTAATAATTGTTATTACCATATTGCTCAATACACCACTTGTATTTATAATTGTATATTTGTTACCCTTGGTTTATTTTACCCGTACACAAACACCTAGGGTTTCCACTGTTAACTCTTTTGGCATATTATTATTAATAACCTGGTGTATTAATATATCTTGTATAAGCTTTTTTTGCTGGGAACCACCACACACTGCACATGACAGCTTGTCACATAATTGTACACATGAAACGGCTTTAGGGTGAACACATCGACACCGGCTCTACTCAAGAACCTCGGACAGAGAACAGACGAACTTTAACAATCTAATTTCTGTCAACATTTATTAGTCTCTGACTTACTGGACATCGAACATTGATAGATGGCTAACAATATATGTGAGCGATTCAATGAGCGTGTGCTGCTTATATGAAATTGATGTTTGTCATCACGCCCTCTCTGAAATCAAGCATCAGGTTAGCCATGACTCCTTGAAGTGGCTACATTTCCGTGTGAATTGGGAAATCGTGAATGAAAATCTTCGATGACATCCATCATATCATATGTTGTCAGATGTAGTTGGATTGCAGAATTGATTCGTTTCTCTAGTAAATTAGCACTATATTCTTATCATTTACCCTAATTTGTCATGGAATGTTATTCTCCTTCCCAGAAATTGCGAATTCCCGCGGATTCGAATTATCAGCTTAAATCGGCAATATTGTTTTATTTCCTTTCATGAGTATATTTTTTATTCAAGTCTCACCGCATTTATTACCGCCTTGAGTAATGTTTATTGTAGGAAGGATCCTCACTGGTCCCTAGCTTTCTTTCCCTGAAATATCTATTTACGTCTTTCTCTACTCGGTAATTCGATACGATCAACCGTCATTTGTAGTGAACAGAACACCAGTAAGGGTTAATCAACTTCATAAAACAAAAAATACAGAACTAGTTAGTAAAATCCAACAACCATATATTAAATCGTTAATTTGCAAACTGTTCATCAATTCACTCAAATGACTCAGAATCCCTTTGTTCTTGCATTTTTATACAGATTGCATTCTTTCTTCATTCTTTATTGTTCGATCTTCTCGTCTCTCCGCTGACAGACATTCTCTTCAATGCTCAAGTCATATACTACTTACGTCTACATAAGTAGCACACACCACAATTACCTGACACTTTATATGTGGCAATGCAGAACTAGTAGGCCGATCTTGGTAAGCTGTTTCGTCCCATGTTGTATTACTTCTTCTGCACATCACCGAATTGTTATCAAAAAGTCGTGGCATTTTGAATAATGAAGGGTTCCTGTTAATCAGTGAATGTAATTAAGAACACGACATTAGCTTTACGTTGAATCATTGAGATAGTCGGCAACAGATATGATGTGCAACTAATGAGGTAATGAATAGTGCACACTATGTGCATACAACGCTCATAAAAAAACAGTCAAATCATTAACATATGAATAATCGACTAAGTTGAAATGTGGCTCAAGAAGAATGAAAAAGCTGGTCTTTTAGGAAGCTAATATAACACAAGTGGGATTAATATGTTACTAGAAACTGCAACTCCGCCATATCGCAGCGTCTAACTTATTCGCCATCAAACATGTATAGATGACTTTCAATATTTGTGAGGGTTTAGTGATCATATAACATTTGAATAAAGTTGATGTTTAACATCATCCTTTCTCCAAACTCACTGTATGGATTCGCGGTGTTTCCTTAAAGCAACTTTGCTCTGATGTGAACTACTGAGAACTCCATATTTCTCCACAGGACGGGCTTTCGTTCTTCCACAGTTCCATCAGGATGATGTCAGATCACTTGACTGATCATCATAAGAAACTGCAATCCCCGTAGTTTTAAATTCTCTGCCTGTTAACATGCTCTTATCTAGTCGATTCAGACTGTTGCATTTAAATTTTCGAGCAATTTCGAATAATCACTGAATTCATTTTGGTTTTCTGGATTTGGCAATACCGATTGTTGTCTTATACTACTTAACCTGAAAGTTATGTGAACTTCACATTTCGGTCAGACTCTAATTTATGAACGAGCCAAGCAGAAGCGTTTTAGCGATTCCAAGGTTACGGCGCCAACTTCAGTGCTAAATTCTAAGGTACAGTCGGTTCACAGGGAATTTTGTACAAAACGTGATGATTGAGCGGCTAAAGCAAATTAAACGGCGAGACTATAATCCGTGGACGAATCAGTCAGGTATAAAATTACAGATCTCGGATATTAACGCGAAAGCCTTTCATCCATTTGGCTTAATATATTTCTGGCAATATAGCTGATGTCATTTCGTGATGAAAACCGCATATATAATTCCTAACTAAGGCAAATTATGACAAATTATCACAAACGCACCTGAATAGCTTATGAGACTGATAGGCATAATGATGTGTTAAAACAAACAAGGAAACAGATGACTTGTTGAAATATCCAGATGGCAGGAACAGGTAGCCCAGATATTCAAGCAGGCCGCCTTGAGTTGTTTATATATACTGAAGCTGTGTGGTCGAGGCCGAAAGAGTTTTTGAGAGTTGATCATGGCTCCAGAGGCCGACTGTTCTGTAGCCGTGTGGATGATTGCGTGAATTACGATTTTAGAGCCTGTGAATCTCGTTCTAACCTTGACGAGTTTTTAAACCACGTATAAGAAGTGTATCCACTTTATTTCTTTGGTTTTTAATAATATATTTTTACTCTATACTTTCTGTTAGCTGATTGGCTAATATTTCTCAATACCACTTAAGATTCGTTCGAAAGTCGTACATAAGTTAGGGTATCGCCCACATTTCTTACCCGTTTGCTAAAGAATTCAATCCCTTTATCTTCAGTCTTTGATTTCTTATCCATCATAACGTTGTGTTGATTTGCCTTGTATATCTCGAAATACTGTTTTTGATTTCATCTCCATCTGTTTAGAAGATAAATCATTTTCACTCATTTTATTCATCATACAATGAGCTTATTTAGATCAGGTGTGTGGTAGTAATCGTCATGTGAACTGTTCAAAGCAATCGTTGCATATTTTCGAACAACCAGAATGCTTGTTCTCGTATTTTCTCACTATCTGTTTCTTCGTTTACATTACCGTTTGATGTAGTATGCAATGATTTATCATTTTGTTGCATAAATGTGATTTTTCTGCAAGTATATAACCCAGTTGATTACGTATGTACACTTTTATCATTCTTTAGAAGATCGTCGATTGGAAACTGGAAATTAATCCAAGAATAAGAATAGTTTCGTAATGTAAGAGCATGAATAATTAAATTTATTAAGCAAATTTAATTGTACAGAAACTTTCTGGTGTTCAACAATAATAATAGATAGTAATTACAAATTTCGTGTAATTAGTACTCTTTATGAACTTGAGTAAAGCCAGAAAACCTATTGAGGTAGAATAATATGAATTCATTATATTTCAAGGATTCACATCACTAGTATACAACCACGTGTGTAGAGATGGATATCGGCTACTAGTTGAATCTAGGACACATGTTTCATCCTACTTCGAATAGTCATCTGGATGTAACTGCATCACAGAGCCGATTTTTACTCTGGAACTCACGCCAAACGCCATAACGTTATCCTCCAGGCTAATAAAACGAGATAGCTACGAGCCTGTTCAATGGAGTGAATTTTAATTTCAATTTGTACCGTTCTTGTGCCCTTGCACTGTTTAAAATTGGGTTACTTTATTTTGATTATTTATACGCTGACAAAGTGGCGTATGCTGAGTCATACGACGTCGGAAAACACAGTTTTTCTACTCATTGAGACTTGACATATATATATATATATATATATATATATATATATATATATGTA